GCTAGTCACAGATCAAAGTATTATCTCAAACATATGAGATGCAAAATTCTCATCCTTTGAGACTGGTCTTCAACCTCAGTGTTTAAAGGAAAGTGAATTGATTTGATAAACTAAGGGGAGCACAGCATTTACTAGCTTTCTGTATTGATAAAACAAGCCGAAGTCTATTACGTGAAATTCTTTCTTCTGCTGCCTGGGATCTATTCACAGGTCACACAAAGAACTGATCACACCAACTGGTGTGTGATTATGGTGACTGGTTGTAGTTCCCATTGCTAATGCAGCAGTGTGGTATCAGTGACTTGGTAACCAGAGGTGGCATAGAGTCTCACTTAATATAGCCAGAAAAATCTAGGTACTTTAACCAATATCAAAACAGATGTTGGTGCAACTTGTAGCAAAACAGATTTTACCTCTGAAACTGAGCAACATTTTTTCAAATAGATGGTGGCTGCATTTTTTTTTTTTTTTTTGCTTTGTCCAGTCATCACACTTCCAGCAGTAAACTTACTGTGTTGTGAAATGTTTTGGGATACGTGGAGGTTAAAAAGCATCCTGTGAAACCAAATTTTTCTGCGTTAACACGCTGCTGTATCAAATCAAATTGCTAAAGGTGTAATGGTGTAGTGTTTCCCTTACAGTGTCAGTAAAATCAACATGAAGTCATGAGCAGGAGCAATCCTGCTGTGCCAGCAGGGCAATACACTGATCAAAGGCAGGAGCTGAGATCATTTATTCTTGAAAAAGAGCAATGTGGCAAGAGCTGGTGTTGTTCGGGACTTAAAGAGAAGGAAAAAAAAGTTTTAATAAATATTGACTGCAGGTAAGTAGATAGAGAAGGGAAACGGTTCCTGATAGTGCATAGGTTTCAGCTCGAACAGGCTTGTGGAAGGATGGACATTTTGATAACACTGATGTCTAACTAATGAAACCTTAGGGCTTCAGCAATTCTTGACAATCGCTTGTTCCCTCTAGGGCTGTTTGCATCTTCTCTTCTGTAAAGCAATTAGGAGCAGCTCGGAAGCAAGGCTGGTGGCTCATTTCCATACCTGTCATGGAAGTGGCCTCTGAGATTTGCATTAAATCAGTACACATATTAATGTGTGTTTATTCATGAATATGTATACACTGTGTGCCTGTAGCATGGGCTAACACACCCTTTTTGGTGTGTTTGTGTATTCAGCATTAGCCCCAGCTTTACTACTGACATGTAAGCCTGAATTCTGTTTGCAAATACAGAGCACGTACATACTTACATGCCTATAAAGAAACATTTATATTACATATATACTTTTTGTCTATGTCATACAATATATCATGTAATATAAAACATACATAAAACAACATAAGACTATTGTTTGTGTGTGTTGGTTGCTTCTTTGTTTTTTTTCCCTCGCGCTAGAGTTTGTCAGGCCTAGGTGTAAATGCAGGGCCCAGAAGTGGTCTCAGGGAAGGTGTAATTTTTAAATTGCCATAAAGTGATGCTTGTATTAGTTGAGAAGTAAATTGCCTGTCATGATGTGTTAAGTGATATAGCTTTCTTTGTGCTCAAAGCTCATTGTAAGAATCTGGAATGGAAATGCTTTTTTTCGCACTGAACGAGAGCTAAGACTCAGCTTTTCTCCTTTTCTCTGCATGGGATGGGGAGAGAAGAATAAATAGGTTTAATAGCTGTGAGCAGTGGTTCTGGGAATGCCCATTCTCATTGTAGAAACGGCAAGATGGAGATTTCTTGCTCTTACACCCGCCTGCCTCGACTCATTCTGGTTTGTTCTTAGAAGTATCTTTCCTTGAGGGAAATACATTGCTGAAAGCAACTCTTTGTATTCTGAGTCGTTCCACCAACGTGCATCTTGTTGAGTGTATATTGATGTGTTTGTAGGTGGAGGCATAGAAACCTGCTTGTGTACGAATTCTGTGTCACCCAACCCGAGTAAGAATAACTCTGAATACGACTGCCAGGATGCACAGGGAGCCTACATCCTTAATCTGTCAGTTCTCTGTTCCTCCCAATCTCATTATTTTTTCCTTAAATGGGAATTTTGCCACCTTGTATCCACGTATTTGGGAAGATTGAAACTTTGGTTACAATCTCCCTGTGAACCTAACTTTAAAGCTACAAGACCTACTCTGGTCTTAGAGCCCCACCAGCTCCAGTGTTTTGCTGAAGCATCTTCTGAACAGAATTCTGTAGCCTCAGTTGCACGTTCAAAACTTTGTTCTCTGCAAAGTTCCCCAGCTGTATCAATATCTAAAGAGTTTCTGAATTTCATTGATAATCTTGATAATGGGCAGACAATGTAAGTTATCTTTACAGATGAAACTCCTGCCGGAGAACCTGATTTAGTGTGGGTTTTCCCAGATATGTGGTGGTTCTATATATTTATTGTACTGTCTTGCTCTTGTCAGTTGGTTCCGGCTGTTACTTCCTGCACTGTGCATGAGAGATACCTGTAAAATAGCTCATTCCCCTCACAGAAACTCTAAGGGGCATGTAACTTACTGCTGTTAAATTGCTCCACTGGTAACGTGGTCCTTTGGAAATCAAACTGAATCAGCTGAATGGGATCCTGAATTCTGTGCACACATTTGGTGGTATCAGACTGCTCTCTGTTCAGGAGCAGCAATGGTTAGATGCTACTACTGCAGAAAATGTTCAAAATGGGCAGCTTTGTTTCATTTATGTGAAGGAAAATTTCCATGACCTTATGCACCTTTCAAAGAGGCTTTGTAACAAATATATCTGTCATAAAAGGTTGATACCGTCACTCAGTAATCTTCGTAACGAGTTTTGCAAGCTCTTAAGCATCTAAGAGTACCTTGCCTCTCACACACTAAGAGGTGCAGACCTCGAGTATCGCCCAGCGTAAATCTGTAGCAATTCCAGTGAAATCAGAGAGTGTTAACCTGGGCTTACACCAGTGTAAATGAGAATAAAATCTGCCAATGCTGTGTCTGCCAGCAGCATTAAATGAGGCTCAAGAGAGTGCTGGTTGTTCCTGCTTCCAGCAGCATACGTCTTTCTGGTCTGCTCAGTCTTGAGAGCCTGAGGAGGGATGCAACTTGCAGTGAACTGAAAGAAGCTAAAAGCAGCATATGTGTTGAGGAGATACTGATCTTAACAGACTTCTGTGCTGAAGATAATTTCTATAGTGTATAGGAAATGTGCCATGGTATCATAGTTCGTGCCTTTCCAGTGCTGCTTTGTACTTTTTTTTTTTTTAAAGTCTTATCTCTGAATCTTGGGATCTTATCAAGGGTATTACAGGAAATGAACCCTGAACTTACAGGTATGTCTACAAATACCTTAGATTTGGATAATGTTTCCCTGCAGAAATGGCCCTCTGAAAAGGATTGAGTGGCACTGTGATTAAATCAAAGCTGTTTACATTTTGAAAAATCTGCTTCAAAGCAGCATGAATGCAACTAAATGAAATGGATATAGCTGCAGGAAAACTTAATGGGCTAGGAGTATTTTTCGGGAAAGTTTTGGACTAGAGAACTTATGTAAGCAGCAAACTAGGCTCTATGTAAGCAGCAAACTGGACTTGAGAAAACCTCATAAATCCGTCCTGCCTGAGTGGCAGAGGATGGCTAGGGAAGGCTACAGCTGAACTAATGGAAAGGCAGGCAGAATGGGCTGAATAAGCAGTGGTGTCTGATGCCAGATTGCTTATGCCCTCCAGTACGTGCAATGACTGCTGCCATCATGACAGAATCCAATTTCATTTGAAAAATGGTTTTGAGTTTGAAAGGCAAATTAAAAATGATAGATTACTTAACTGACGTCCCTTTGTGTGTGACAGAGCCTTAAACAGCTTTTTGGATTCTTGTGTTTCTTCCAAGCTTCCCTTAACTCCTTGTGAGAAGTGCTGCTGGGCAGTTGGCTGAGGAGCTGGTTCTTCTCTCTCCCGCGTTGCCCGTGCGGGCGCTGGTCACCTCCCCTCCCACCACCCTGTGTGCTAGTGCTGAAACCCAGAGGCATCTTTGCAGTGTTTGCCATTCATAGAAACGTACTGAAAAATGGGCTGTTGGAATTTCATTTTAGCAGTGAAAGAGGAGGAAGGAAGCAACAAACAGTGGAAGAGAAACTGCTGAAGCAGGGGGAAGAAGGGAGGCACAGGAGTTTTGTTCCCTTTACTGTTCAAAATCGGTGCTTTCCAGGGCAGGGAACAAAGTAACTACTTTACAAGGTTTTGTTCTGACAGCAGGGAAGGGTTTTATCAAAAGTGATGTTTAAGGGACAAGTTTTTAATAACTTTTCACTTTTCTTTTATCTCTACTTTTGTAAAGGTACTGGTTTGTACCTAAATCAAAATCAAGTAAGGCCATGTACTCACATTGCTGTAGAATGGTGTGGGTAAAGAAGGACAAGATTGACTGTAGAGGTATACTGTGAATGGAAACCAAAGTAAGTGATATTTGTACCTCCTCTCTAAGCATATTGTTAGAAGACTTGATCTTAATTTAGAGTTGTAGCTCACAGGGGTGACAAGTCCTACTTGTCCTGAAATGCCTTCCCTCTGGAGCTGGTAGGAAGAGTTGAGAACAGTGCTCCTCGTTTGCTGCAGTACCTTGTTTGAGATGAAGGCTCTGCTGTCGTGCTTGGGCTCTGTCCTTGGCAATTTGATCATCAGCAGTATAGTGGCCATGGCCTTTGAGCTCTACCGATGAGTAGACCAATGGTTGAGACCCATATAGTACAAATCTAACTAAGGCAGCTTTCTCCATATGCCAAGATAACTTGTTTCTTAAGTATTCAGCAATTTTAGGGTACTTCTCATGTGCATAATTTTAGATGGGGGAATCCACAGAGATCACTGGATACGACAACAGAGTTTGTAGTTTGCACTCCTAGATAACACGTGCTTAACCTGCAAGGCAGCCTGTTAGAGTTCTGTCGTAAAGGGGTGTCTAACTTTTGTATTCTAGTAAAAGAGCACAAGCAAAATGATGCAGTTGTGCTTTAGACTGTAAAGGACATGATTTTACAGAGTTACCAGAATAACCACCGCACTGTAAGGCAGAGTGAGGGCAACTGTGTTCGCTCAGACCTTTGTGGAAGTGAGCCCTGAACAGCAGAACTGCTCCAGGAAATGCGCTGTGTGTCTAAGTCTGAGCTCATGGGATTTTCCCAGATCAGCAGACAGGTACCTGATCAGTAAGGACAAGAAGAATGGGAGGAGTTTGGGTGTGGAGGTGTTGGGGGTGGTTGTGTTTTTGTTGTTGTAGGTTGGTTGGTTTTAATGTGGCTGTTTTTTTGTTTATTTTCTCTCTCTTTTTTTTTTTTTTTTTTTGGTACATTTTATTTATTTCCCAATGGTTGTTTGCATTTTACCTCGTGTATCAACTTCTACTCCACAGGTGCATACCGGATTCCCTCTGAACTATTCATTTGTTCCCTCTGCAAAGCTGTTATATCTGCAAAGCTGCAAAACAGATTCTAAAAGACCTCATGTTGTATGTGTACTAGACCTCCTGTTAGGAAATATTTCAGAGTAGATGATTCTATATACATCTTATTTCAAAAAAAACCCCAGATTATTTTAATATGATTTTCGATCTGTAGGCTTGTTTTTGCTGCACAGATCATACTTGGACCTGAAAGAAATGTAAAGCCTGACTGCAGGCTAGGATCTTGGATTTTACGTTTAGCACAGCTATTCAGATGTTCTGAATGCCTTTGTCATCTTTTATTTAAATGTTTGGTTATGTGCAATTAACAGCTAGAACTAACAGCAGAAAAAAAAAAACCAGGCCATTCCACAGGGGACGGCTGCATAGGTTTTTCAGATGTCAGTGAACTTATTGTCACTGTTGCAGGGTCAGTTGTAGTGCAGTTGAAATGCAGGGAATACAGATGTGAAGGTTGGAGAGGAGGTTACCTTCCTGCTGTGATTTCACATGTTCGTGCACTGCTATATGAATTTTTACCTCCTTAGTCTGTGCTAATTTGTCTAGCTATTCAAGCCCTTATAGGGCCTTGACCAATGTAGCCCAGTATTTGTAGCGCTGGGGAGGGAGGACTGGCAACCCGAGGGACAGACAGCTTAGCTGTGGGTAAGGCAGTGCAGCAGTGCCCTGTGCTCTCCTCCCCTGTGCCGAGCTTGTCTTCCCAAGGGACCTGCACCCCCGGCCCTCCTCTGTCCTTGCACTCAGTAAAGCAGCCCGGCTACTCATGAACACATCCCTGGGCTTTTTGTGGGGCGTTTCCCTTATTTACGGTCACCACTTCTTAAGCCATGGTTCACATGGTGGGTGAGTGGGAGTAGGAAGGGTCCCACTCTAAGTCAGCAGCTCTGTGGACCTCACAGAGAGAGTTGCTGGCTCTGTGCAGCAACCGGTTGCTGCTGTGCTTAGGCTCTATGAAGGCACTGGCTCTCTTAAGCCAAGTGCATGTGATGATTTTAGGCTGCTCTGAAGTCAACTTGGTAGCACAACGTAGTCAGAAATGTATGCAGCAGTGGTACATAGCCAGGGGAATGTTTTATTGTTGCTGCTTGTGCTGTACTTGCAGCTAGTCTGTAGAAAGTCACCAGAGTACTTTTTGCTAACACTAAGTAGATATAAATAAAAGGAAAGCTGTTAAATTTTAAACTGGCAAAGTAAATGTCATGAATATGCTTCAGTGTTGAGTGCAAGTAAATAACAGATGTGTTGTCAAATTTATTGGCCTATATTTGTAGCAGCAGAAATGAAATTAAACATGCACCACTATGGTAACGTAGACTGTATTGATGTTGCTGGAAGGATTTAGTCGGCAGCGTTATCTAGAATAAATGTTCTCCCAATAAAAGAAAATAATGTATATATTTGCTATCGCAAATCCATCTGTTCTTCTAGCACCATGGAGTCCACTGTGCTTTTTTTCCCTATTTAACTATTGCCACTCCTCTTAGGTGCTTTTCTTGTTGGCTTTCTTATCCTGCAGGTGTGGGAGCACAATTTTGGGAGATGAAGCTGTGCATATTTGCAGGCAGCCCTGGTTGGCTCTTAGGTGCCATTTGCTTTTCTGCTGATGAGAGAACTTTGTTCTTGGGGGTGATTTCTCTGAACATCCAAAAGTTGGGTTGTGTTCTCAGAAATGAGCAGTTGGAGAAGCAAGTCTTTTGAGGGTAAGTGGGGTAACACTTTCCAAGAGGGAACCACTGCATCTACCATGCTAATGATGATCAAATGCTAAGCCTGTCATCTTCAAAATGGGCACATAAGTGCTTTAACATGGTCATGGGGTGCGAGCAGCAAGCCTGTAGTTAATTGCCTAGACTACTTTGCCCTTCTGTAAACAACCTGTTGTAGTTCCCCTCCTCTGTGCCTGAGAGAGGATGAGTTGTCAAAAGCTAATTCTACACCTTGGAGAGTTTAAAAGCCTGAAGTGGAGGAAAAGGAAAAAAAAATCATGAAAGTAAAACAAAGCAAAGAAATTGTGTAAACAAATTAATTAATTGTCTGGAAGTGAAGTGCATGTTTGTAATTTTGCCCTTGTCGAAGGGAAATTGAGGTTCATTATGTTCAGTGACTGATTTAAAAGCTCTTTCCTGCACAGCATCACCTAGAGAGAGAGAGAGAGGCCCATTTGGAGCTCACACATTGGCTGCAGCTTCAATTAAAATAGGAATTCATTACTTGAAACCTCCAGAGAGAAGGCTGTTCTTTCACTCTTTAGTATGGGGAGAAAGCTGCGTTTTCTTTTGCTGATTCACTCTTTTGCTTTAATATGAGGTTATAAAAAATGCTGCCTTTTAGCTTATACCAGTAAGCTAAATCTGCACTTTACTTACACGCTAAACAAATTTAAACACTAAAACTAAACAAACTTACACATGAAACAAATTTAGCTTACACTAGTAAGCTAAATAAGTTTGAGACTGGTAGATGTGAGACCGTATTTGGAGGAAAACTTATTTTTTTTTGCCAATGCTTATTGTATTATTTATATGAACAGAGATGGGATGAAATAGAGAACAGAGAAGACCTACAAAATGCATTTTACCTGATGTTATGAATTCTAAGGTTGATGCTGTATGAAAGCAATCACAGCAGAGCAATTAAATACTTTTAATTAGGTGTGTACATATTATTCTAAAACCCTGAAACATATTGCTCTGTATCTTTAGTTGCCAAATGCAAATACCCTTAATATATCCAGTTGTTGATGTCTGGCAGATCTCCAGTCCATAATTCAATTAGAATCATCGACACATGTATGGGAGGGATAGGATTCTCTTTCTCGAACTAGATGGCACAGAACAGTTGGAAGAAAGGGTAAATGCTATCGGGAAGGCTTCTATGTTTGACTCTTATTTTGGAAACTTCCCGGGGTGTTTTCACAGGAATGCTTAAAGAAGCTGTGGAGAAGTGTGCTCAGGGTTTCTGCTTGTTGCACTTGGCTTGTTTTGTATCCTTTCCCCCCTTTTCCCTGTAATAGGGAGCATACTAGGGATTTATTTTTCTATTAAGCACCCTCAGATGACTGCCTTGTTCCTTCCCCCTTGTTCCTTGCAAATGCTAAACAAGAAGAGCATGGCCTCCTTCCTGGAATTAGCAGATATTAAAGCAAATGTGTGTTTTTTTTTTTTTTTTTTCTTCCCCAAAAGCAAGCTACTTGGCAGTTCTCCAGCCCTTTTAGCAGGTGCAGGATGCCTGAGGCAGTGCCACACGTACATCCCTGGAACATCATAGCCCGCTGTTTTGGACATCAAAGTGCTCCAGGGAAGGAAATGTGCGTCTGTACGTGCACAGATGTATTAGTCCTCTGTGGTCAGTAATATATACTGATTAATGAGCACTGGATACGGGTCAAGAATTTTCTAATTGGAAATGTTAATTTACTGAGAGCAAAACATTCCAAATAAGGATCTTAGTTTCTTTCAAAGATTTCTCAAAAATAAGTGGTATTTTGAGGGGAAACCTGCCTAGCCTTTTAAAGGGCACCCATCTACCTAATCTCCTGAGAGGCATTGCCCTGTTTGCCCTCTACCTTCCCTCCTCTTATGCCATTTTAAACTGCCTGGAAGGGCCCCAGATGTATGGGACGATTATTACTACTTGACAGTCTGTTGGGTTGGAAATTCCGAAGGTTGTGGGTCTCAAGAATCCCGGTTTGCTTGTTTCTGAGAGGCTCGGGTTTTGGAGGCGTAGCAACACTTTGTTGCTACGTTGAAAGAGAATTGCTCATTCCTCGCAGTCACCAGCATTTTCAGATGATCAGGGTTGTCACATTCCCCCCCATTCAGACCTCACAATTTGCTGGTCTATGTTTATAGAAATGTTGTTAATAATTGGCTCGTGTTGGTTCAAGTATCTGATACTGCAAGGGTGTTTTGTTCCAATTCTCCCTGCCCAAGGCAGCGGTCTGCAGCCCAGTACCTTGGTGGGCTTTGCTCTATGGGCGCATGTTCCAGTGTGTTTCAGCCTCCTGCTGTTCTCTACCTTGCCCTTAGTTGCTAGAATCTGTGGGTCAGGGAGGGCACCCACATGCTCTTCCTTTTCTAAAATCTAGTGGCGAAAGTGGCTTTACAACAGGGCTGAGTGACAGGGATTTGATCACAAAGAAATGGCAGGAATAGAAAAGGTCTATGAAGGGCAGTGAACACTAGAAGCAGCCTGTAGAAATGAGTGTTGAGGGGATTGTTGTAGGAAAATATACGAAACAGTTTTTATGCTGGGAATGAGTTTTAAAAGGTGGAGAGGTCAGTAGAGGAAATGGAAGATCGTTAGGGAAGGTGAGATCATGTTTGGGAGAAGATAAAAGCATACGATCAAATTAAAACATCGTTTAAAATGAGTACAAACTGAATAAACCTTGGATTGGGGGCATTTTGGCACAGTCTGTGCAACTTCAGTTTTTTCACACTTGGCAAGACATTCTGTTAATAGAAACTTGTATGTGTTTCATCTATAGCCACTTTTTATGTTTCAGTGAAGGTGCCCTAGCTTTATCTTTATTGCAGAGTTTGTGATGAGATGGCGCTGACTCATCTGAGCCACCTGGATAATTTTATCTGTGCTTCTCAAAAGCACTCTTAATGCATTGGCACCCTAATAATGAAACGAGGAGCCTCGTTTCCACCTCGCAAGCCTCGTCCACCTCACAAGCGGCACGGAAGCCGTTCCTGCCTCGGCGCGTTCACCGTGTGAGCGTAAGGTGATGGGCAGCAATTGAGTGAAACATGGGCTTCATGCACGTCAGGATGTGCAGGGACATGGAGATGGGAGCAGCCGTAAAGAGGGTTCTGAAGGTGATGAGCCCTTTGATATGTCTGCTCTTCGGTGACTCCTCAGGCACCTGAGGAGCCTCTCTTCTGGATACCTGTTTGCACATTAGTGCTGCGAGTCCTAGAAATAGTTGAACCTGCTCCTCGAGCAAGGGGTGTGGGGACAGCAGCTAGCGGAGGGATGCTTAGCACATTTGTTCTGGTATGTGTTCATGACAGCTTTCCAGTTGGAGCAACCTGCCTGACTAGCTCCCCTCCTTGGGTTTTGTGGTGGTGAGAAGTCTCTCTTTTTCTTACCTACTTTCTTTAGAGTTCTTATGCTTTCTGCGTTGGTGTTTTCCTTCTCAATAGCCCTGCTTCTCTCTGGAATTTTTACTTTTGCCTTTTTGTAGGCTTTATGCTAGCTCTCCCTGAGCTGTTTGAGGGGGAAGGT